CCTGCATCCAGCTCTGGAGCCCTCAGCACAGGATAGACATGGACCTGTTGGAGTGGGTCCAGAGGAGGCCACAGAAATGATCAGAGGGATGGAACACCTCTCCTGTGAGGACAGGCTGAGAGAGTTGAGGTTGTTCAGCCTGGAGAAGAGAAGGCTCCAGGGAGACCTTCTTGCAGCCTTCCAGTACTTGAAGGAGGCTTATAAGAAAAGAAAGCTGGGGACAGACTGTTTAGCAGGGCCTGTTGCAATAGGACAAGGGGTAATGGTTTTAAACTAAGAGAGGGGAGATTTAACTAGAGATAAAGAACAGATTTTTCACACTGAGGGTGGTGAGACACTGGCACAGGTTGCCCAGAGGTGGTAGATGCCCCATCCCTGGAAATATTGAAGGTGAGGTTGGATGGGGCTCTGAGCAACCTGATGTAGCTGAAGATGTCCCTGCTCATTGCAGGGCAGTTGGACTACATGACCTTTAAAGGTCCCTTCCATCCCAAACTATTCTAGAACTCTATGATAAGTTTACCATATCCTAATGTAAAGGGTTCCAAACACAACTACTCACAACTGAACTAAGAATAAGCGTGAAGAACTAGTTAAACTTGCACGGTTTAGTACTAATAAAGTTGAAATAGAAGAGCAGATTTTTTCCCAAATGGTTCATTTAATAATTTGAAACACTGATATTTGCAAGTAGATTTCTTAAAAATATATATATCTTATTTTAAAGGAACAGCATTGGCAAGGCATAAATAAATTTCATTTGAAAGTAAAAGCATCTTCTCTGCAGAAGTGAATGTATAACTAGGCTAGCACCTCAGTCACTACTAGAACTGTCTGAACTATCAGAGGATGAACTTTTTTCCTTTCGTCTCTTCTTTTTCTCCTTTTTATGATGTTTTCCTTTCTTAGATTTATTCTTTTTTTCCTTTTCCCTTTCTTTTTTGTGCGATTTTTGTTTTTTTGACTTTGGCTCATCCTCTTCAGAATATCTAGTAAAAAAAAAAAGAAAACAAAACAGATTGATATGCATTAAAGTACAAAAATGCCACAAGATTAATGTGGGGTTTTTAATTTCAATATTAATATAATGTCACAAATTGAATTTGGTGTAGAATTTGTATAGTAGCATTCATTGGAAAGCTTATGATACCTCAGTCTGCGTGCTCACCTGAACAATGACTTTTCTACCTGTCGTGGTTTAGCTGAAACCAGGACACTATCAGAAACGCAGCATGTTTACAACACAGATTAAGAACAATGGAATAGGCAAGTTCTGTGTTTTTCAACCTTGAATAAGAAAAAGACTAAGAGTACAGACCAACAGAAAACTAAGAAGTATGACACTAAGATAGAGCTTCCATCTTTTAAAACATCACATTATTACTAACAACACCACAGTAATGCCTTCAGACAAATCTTAATGTATGTGTCTCATGCAAAAATCTAAGAGAAATGAGTATGAGAAATTTGGATGCTCTTGCAGCTGGTAATACCGGTCTCTAACCAGCAGTGATGAGTGATAACACACATACAAGAATTAAGATGACAGTAAAAGAAAATTATTACTATGCTCAAGAGAGCAGTTTTGAAATTAAAATAGGAGTGTCATACTTACCTTTTCCTTGGTCTCTTCAATTTTGTTTTTTCTTTGCTTTTTCTTTTTTGTTTCTTTTTTTCTTCCTCCTCATTTAAATCTATGGATAAAAAGCTACAGTTTACAAAACACTCCTCTGAATTAAGATCAGCATTGAAAGAGTATCATGGAATCATTAAGGTTGGAAAAGACCTCTAAGATCATCAAGTCCAACCACCAACCCAACACCACCATGCCCACTAAACCATATCCTGAAGTGCCATGTCTACATATTTTTTGAACACTTCCAGTGATGGTGACTCCACCACCTCCCTGGGCAGCTTATTCCAACATTGTTCGCACAATGAAGAAGGTGCAAACAAGCATTCAGTATTTTTTTAATAAATCGGTGCAAAAATCTAAATGCAAACAGTGCAAAAATCTTGAGAAGAGGATGCCACTTGAAAATGTCAAAATCCTGCCTAAATTATTGACAATTAAAGATACATGTCTCCTTATAGTACACATAACAGCCATGGTGTGAGAAAGAACATATCATAAACAGATTACAAGATCAAGTAAAGAGCTGTTTTTCCTGCAGATATCCAGCTTTAGTCAGTTCAAGGCTGAAAAAAACCCTTATATTCAAAAGTACATAGTAAGTGGCAACAAGTTTTTCTGAAGAGACTTGTTCCAAGAAAGGACCGTTGCAGTACCAATGCAGCATTCCTGACAAGCAGTCTACCTCTTTCTTTTGAAGTGTTCCAGCAAATTACAGGGTTCTATCTAGACCTTCTTCCTAAACAGCATCTTTAATAGAAACTGAAAGTCAAGGAAAGTACTTTTCCAAATGTGAATGTTTAAAGTCAATTCACTAGCTGCTTCAGTCAAAACACTGAAACCGAAGAGAAATTCAGCTGTCATATTTGTTATTAGTTTTAAGAGTTACTATCACCTTTAAGCTATTTAAACTACATGCCATAAGCTTCTTAGTAATGGTCTTACAATCTTTTGTACTTGGGAGCCCTTTTTGAGATGTTCCAAATGGGTATATAATTAATTTCCTATGACAGGAATTAATAATAATAAAAAAGTTGTGGGTGTACCAAATCTCTGAAGTCTGAACACATGAAGTAAAAGACCTACTTTTAAACACACAGGCTAAAAGAACTAGTAGTAGTTATCAAAAAGGATAAAATGAGAGTTCCAGTACTTCAGAAGACCATTATCCAATTTACTCTTTATGAAGAAAAATAAAAACCACCTTACTCTTTTTTTCACGCATGGCTTGCAATCTCTGTAGTTCTTCTTCCTCACTGTCTTCGCTGCTAGTGCTGCTGACATCTAAAACAATATCTCTTTGAGGATCTACTCGGAGGAAGTTTCGACATTCAAATGTCAGATGACCAGCTGAACAAAACAAATGAAAAAAAAAAGAAAGAAAAAAGTTACTATTTACTAAAAATATCAGAAACTAAAGAACATCCATTTTAGTATTATACAGGTTTGAGAAGTGAAAAAAGGCTAGGCTGCAATCTGTGAATGAGGAGGGAGAAGGCTTACTCTGAAAAAGCCTCAGAGAATTTTGATAGGTTGTACAATATTATTCCACTTAAAAGTCCTTTATGACCTCTCGCATTTCTGTTAAGGTAAAGGTTTTGTCCAACCTTCACTTTCTATTGTTTTAATGGTCTCAGATTCTTTGTGAAGAAGTTAACTAAAAGAATGAAGTGAGATGTTTGAAAAGGTATAAATGTGTTATATTGCTTTTTTTGTCTCCTTCTAGTGAAATAGAAGAATCCTGTTCACTTATGAGACATAAACTTTAACAACTAGTAGATAATACTGACTAAGCTACTACTTGAATAGTATTTTTAGTTTTCTAAGTTACATCTCAATAATCATGACTAGAGTTAGAAAGTTCATGCTGAATACACCTATTGGAATAATAAAGAGAAATAAAACAAATTGAAGATATGGTTTACGAGAAACTAAACTAAAGACACAGGTATTCAAGTAGCAATTGAAATAAACTCATCTTCTTCATACCAAAACACCTACACGTTGAACACAGAGCTTTTAGGAACTTAAACACAAGTTGCGTGATTTGACTACAAGTTTCCTTCTCTTCCAGAAGGCTTCTGATACTTACTGCAAGTAGAAATGAAGCACTAAATCTATATTGATATCCATGTTCCTTTGGAAGAACAGATATACAAAGCAATTCTTTGACTAAATTTGTTGGAGACAAAGTCTACTGTGAAAGAATGATGCAAGCTGTTTTTCCCCCTTCACCACACATAACACTTGTTAAAAAAAGAAGGATTAAATCACTCTGTTAAAAGTTCAACACAAATCACTGCAGAACAGTGCCCACCCCTCCATTGCTCTAAGAGTTAGTGATTAACAAATTAAAATCTTTACTAAGATCTGTCCCCATTCATCAGGAAAGTAGCCACAGACTTGCTTATATGATCAGAGCATAATGCAAAGCATGAGCTAAACCATAGAAATTGTAAGTACCAAAATTAACTTTTTCTTGAAATATAGAATGCACAAAGAAGTATGTTTTCTTAGCATAGAAGATCATAAAGATTTTAAATTATTTTGTTGTTTAAAACAGATTGGACCTAACTTGAGATGAAATGCCTGCCTAAGTTGGCAGCGAGACTCAGAAGAAGCACGAATGTTAATCTCAGTAGATACCAAAGACCATGCTTTCAATTCAAAGTTTCTCAAGTAATTGCATTGCAAATGTAGTATATATGAAAACAATAGCATAGGGTTTTTTTCTGAAAAACTCAAGGGTTTTCAAAAGCAGCAATAGGCGTGAGAAGCCAGAGAAGGAATATGAAACAAATAAATTAATAATGATAACTGAAACTGACAAATGTCTGGGCAACAAGGTAGAACAGCTTTTTTTTGTTTTCCTCTCTCCTCAAAAGACAGTTCCAACATCACAAATCAAAGAAAACACTGTTAAGGTCACATTGCTTACTACAGACTTACGATAGCCACATTTCTTGCATCCTGCTCTGATGTTATCCTTATTTCCACCTGAAAGAGAAAATTTCATCAATTAGGTATTGCTAAAGAGAACTCTTAAGTTTCTTTTAAATCTGGCTTCATAATGTCAATACACAGACAGGACTGATCACTCCTTAAGAGTATTAAATACACTAAGATCTCTTTAAAAAACTTAAAGAAAAGCAAACCAGAGCACTTCTAAGGTCTCTTTTCTGTGCAGTAATCTATCAGAACAAATTTGGCTAGTATAGAACCATAGAACAGCTTGGGTTGGAAGGGACCATTTAAAATCATCTAGTTCCAACTCCCCTGCCATGGGTAGGGACACCTTCCACTAGACCCGGTTGCTCAAAGCCGCATCCAACTTGGCTTTGAACACTTCCAGGGAGGGCATCCACAGCTTCTCTAGGAAACCTGTTCCAGTGCCTCATTATGCTCATTGTGAAAAATGTCTTCCTTATAGCTAATCTAAAGCTACTTCACTCGGTTTAAAGCCACTGCCCTTTGTCCTATCGCAACAAGTCCTACTAAACAGTCTGTCCCCAGGTTTCTTATAAGCCTCCTTTAAGTACTGGAAGACTGTGATAAGGTGTCCCAGGAGCCTTCTCTTCTCCAGGCTGAACAACCCCAGCTCTCACAGCCTGCCCTCACAGGAGGGGTGTTCCAGCCCTCTGATGATTTTGGTGGCCCTCCTCTGGACCTGCTCCAACAGGTCCATGTCTTTCCTGTGCTGAGGGCTCCAGAGCCAGTACTCCAGGTGGGGTCTCAGCAGAGCAGAGGGGCACAATCACCTCCCTCAACCTGTTGGCCACGCTTCTTTTCACACAGCCCAGGATCCAGTTGGCCTTGTGGGCTGCAAGCGTAAATTGCTGGCTCTTATCCAGCTTTTCATCCACCAGCACCCCCAAGCCCTTCTCAGCAGGCCTGCTCTCAATCCATTCTCTGTGCAGCCGGTATTTGCACTTAGGATTGCCCCAACCCAGGTGCAGAAGCCTGCATTTGGCCTTGTTGAATTTCATGAGTTTCGCACAGGTCCACCTCTGAAGCCTGTCAAGATACTTCTGGATGGCATCCCTTCCCTCCAGCACGTTGACCACACCACACAGTTAGTGTTGTTAGCAACCTTGCTGAGAGTGCACTCATCCCCACTGTCCATGTCACTGACAAAGATGTTAAACAGCATCAGTCCCAACACAGACCCCTGAGGGAAACCACTTGTAACTGGTCTCCACTTGGGCATCGAGCTGTTGACCGCAACTCTTGAGTGTGAGCACGCAGCCAATTCCTTATCCACCAAGTGGTCAGTCATTCTTTCTCTTATCCACCAATGCTGTAACCCCATTGCAGAAGGTCACCAAATTTGTCAGGCATGATTTGCCCTTAGTGAAGCCAGGTTGGCTGTCACTAATCACCTCCTTATTTTCCACGTGCCTTGGCACAGTTTCCAGGAGGATCTGCTCCATGATCTTGCTGGGCACAAAGGTGAGACTGACTGGCCTGTAGTTTAAACTACTACAAATCATTTAGTTTCACATAACTTACTGCCAAATCCTAATTTGATTTATTATGACCTTTCCTTTATAATTTTAATAATTATTCCACTTCTCTGAATGCTTAGGTATTTGTTTTGTTTACAGTATGAACATGGGAATAGCTATCTGACATTCCAGTGATCCATAACGGTGCACTACAGGAGCATTTATAAACATCCAGTGCATGGATATTGACAGACATTCACTGCAAACTCTGAAGTAATTTATATTTCAATTACAAGAACTGTCTTAAAAATACAATTAAAAAAACCCAAAACAATCACTCCTGAAAATTGACAAAAGACAGGTAGAAGCAATTAAAAAAAAAGCAAGCTAAGCAAATTGTTAAATGATTCTGAATCCAGGCAACATAGTATCAAATACAAAGCATTAATGGGTGCAAGAAAGCAAATGTGGAATAAAGTAAAGAGAGTAACAGAAAAGTCCATATGCATTATGCAGGAAGGAGGACTAGAATAGTGCAAATTTTAGGTATAGAAACTGTGTGATTTTCCCATCTGAGCCCAGAGTTAAGTTAAAGTGACAGAGTAGGACATGGCTTGTAAGAAGAGAAACCCCAGAGACCCACCCCCCAAAAATAGATCACTCTTAATCGGCTGAGCCTATTCATAATGAAAGTCACATCTGAATTTCCAAAATCAAAGGGCACCTTTCTATCTTCCAACTGAGTAGCATATAAAAACCCAGTGACTTAAATAGTTATAGACATCCTTCTGAATAACTAGGTCATTTATTTAAATAAATAATTAAGCAAACTTAACAAGGAATCCATGACAGAAATTAGAGAACCAGAAATCAGGGGTACATCAGCTCCATGAGTTTAAACTTTGATTTACTGAGACAAGCACTGTCTTTAGAAAATTCTACTCAAAATAACAGAGAAACCGTCAAACCCCAGATTGAAAATTTAACTTGGAAACTTGGACAAGTCATTGGTCTATGCCCTGAAGAGTACTGGAAAGCTAAGCAATAAAGACACATAGATTCCATTATGACACATGGTTTTCTGTGGATCCCAGAACCTTAATACTACATATCGCCTTCGAGGTCTATAAACTCAGCAGTATTTAGGTGCCTGTTTTATGACTATCTTTTAAGGGAAACCCACGAGAGGCAAGGACGTAGGGAACACGGAAGAAAGTGTCAAGAAGCAAGGAATGAAAGTATACATGTGTCTTGCAATGTCATGTCAAAGAAATACTCAAATTAGCATTTGCTTGTTCACTGCATCTTGGGACTAGAAAGCAAAATCACCCAAGCTACCTACTTTGTCTCAGCTTTCTGAAATACTCAGTAAACTTCAGCCCTACTGTGTTGCTGACCTGTAGGTAAGAAAGATAGGTAAAGAAAGATTTGGTATTCCATGCAAGGGAGGTCAGTACAGTCATGCACATGCTACAAAATCTCCCATAATACATACAGGTGCCATTTGTCAGGATTTCCAATAGAAACACCCAGCAGATGACAAGAATATCGCCACCAGATACTCCTACCAAATTCTCCAGACTGACATTTTACTATTATTTTTGGCTTTAAATAATAATGTTAGAAGCAGGGTTTTAGACTAGATGAAGTTTTAGGTGATTAAAAGGAAACAAATTACTCTAAGTTTCCTTTTCTCTCTCCCTTCTTCCCAAGAAGAATCCTTTAGACAATTAACAATCGACACATCACTAACGACCTCATTCATTTAGTAGAGCACAATAGCAAAAAAAAAGCTTTGGAAACCATTGAATGTAAACATGAGATATGTTCCTCAAGAATAGCTTCTAGAATGGGAGCAAGCTTATTAAGGTCTTCTCTTTGCTTAAGAGAAGAAGCTTACCAAAGCTAAGGCTTGTTCAGCTGCCCTCCAACCACTTTTCATGTCTCGGGATCAAGAAAAAATTATGAAGCAACGGCTACATGTTTGGCTAACATAGATCTAAATACCTTGCCAACAGCACCTTGTCCTGTCCTGTCTCATCATCATTCTCAACAGATCTATTTAAACAATAATCTAGTGGGACACAAACGTTAATCCTGAACAGAAGACGAGGAGGAAAACCAAGTCTGAAAACAAACACTGTTTGGATCTAACTTAAAGAAAGTGGCTTATGCTAAAAGGCGACAGGAACGTAGCACTCGGTCACCACTCATCCAAAAGGCTGAGAAGAGGCCGCGCAGGCCTCGAAGGAAGCGACCGCATGGCTGCGCTCATCAACGGCTAGCCTGAGGCCGGCCCCCGGCCACCTGGCCCCCTCCCTCCCGCTGCCTCAGTAGCCAGCTGGTTTAGAAAACCGGCCGTGCAGACCAGAGCAACGTCTCTCCACCGGCAGCCCCAGCCGCCTCACGGAGGACGCCCCCCTCCCCGCCTCATACTTCTCACTGCAACTCGCGGTCGCGCGCCCTCTACGCGTGATTTTTCCATTAATCCGCCGCTTATTTCCCCTTCCCAACATGCCGGCCCTAGGGCCAGACCGCTATTGCCCCTTTTCTCCCCGCAGACCCGGCTGGGAGCCCCTTACCCGGCAGAGCCCTGGCGCCTCCCGGCC